ACAAATTACTAATGATTCCGTTGGAGAAGTGTGGTTTACTAACTTAGACTTAAAAAATGCATACAGTCAATTAGCATTAGACAAATTTACTAGTAACCAATGTAACTTCAGTATCGTGGGCGGTGACATTACGGGTACTTACCAATTTTTAACTGGTTTTTACGGCTTAGGGGATATGCCCAACGAATTTCAAAGAGTAATGGACTCTACGTTAGGTTCAATCCCATTTACTAACTGTTACTTGGACGACATTTTAATCTCTTCCAAAGGAACATTCTTAGACCACAAGAATATTGTATTAAAAATTTTATCGACCCTCGACGAATACAACTTTGCCGTAAAATGGTCAAAATGTAAATTCTTTCAAAAAGAAATAGAATGGTTGGGATTTAAAATCTCTAAATCAGGAATTACCCCGTTATTCGACAAATCGAAAGCTATAAAAGACCTACCTATACCGAAGAATCTGAAAGAATTACGATCATTTTTTGGTTCTATAAACCAATACATTAAATTCGTCCCAAACCTTGCATCCTTAGGAAGCCCACTCCGACCGCTCCTAAATAAGAAATCAATATTCCAATGGAACGATGATCATACAAAAGCGTTTGAAAGAATAAAAGAAGAAATCGTAAACCTAACAGAGAATACACATTTCGACGTAAAACGAAAAACTAGAGTGAAAACAGACGCATCACACAATGGACTTGGAGCCTCGCTGGAACAACTCCATGGGAACGATTGGAAAACAATCTCATTTGCGTCACGTTTTTTAAATCCTCACGAGTCTAAATACTCTACTAACGAACTCGAACTTCTAGGGGTTGTTTGGGATGTTGAGCATTATAAAAATTACCTTTACGGATCTGATTTCGAAATAATCACTGATCACAAGGCCCTATTATCCGCTCTTTCACCAAACCACGGAAATAAAACCTACCACAGTAGATTAACAAGATGGGTAGACAGATTATTACCTTTTAATTTCTCAATCAAACATATCGCAGGAAAAGACATGGGCTTCACTGACCTTATTTCTAGAATTCCATCCGGAAAAGCCCTCCCAACATCACATTACGACGAAGAATTCGTAGTAGCAAACATTAATAAGATTAATAAATCATTAAATCCGTCGGAGAAACTAAGAACTACTTGCTCAGCCATTGGTCTCAATCTGGAAAATTCCGACTACGTCTTATTACGTAATTACCTAATAGCAGCAGTACTAAAACTTATTAACTCGTCTTTTCCAATTTGCTCATTCAATCACAGAAGAACAGAATTTTGTACCTCAAATTGTATTCCAACGGATTATTCCAACACAAATACTTTAATTATTTCCATTTCAAATTCCGCATTTCTTTATTTTTTAATTCTTAATTGTAGCCTAATTAATTCACCTGTAGATAAAAAAAATTGTAGATACTGTTAATATGAATCATAAGAATATTGTAATTAATCCCACCACTTCCGGTATTTCCGTAGATTTAGAATTCAAACTTTTACCAAATCATATCAATCTTGTTAAAAAATACCGTGAAAACTTGAAGTTGCCGGATCGACCCTTGGATTTAAATATTTTATTTAACGCCAAGTTAGTGGCTCTCTTGACAGAAGACGATCCCATGTTAAGCCCTATTGTTAAAGCACTTCAAAATAAGGTGGAGAAGATTAATGCAGATTCTCCTTATTTCAAACATTTCACCCGAGACCTTCACGAATCCGATGGATTACTTTACATGGACGGCAAACTCGTTATTCCATTTACCATACGAAACGCGATGATGAAGACCCTCCACGAAACACATCCATGTCAATTCGGAATGAAATATTTGGCCCAATACATTTGGTGGCCCCACATTAACAGACAAATCTACTTTCATGGAATTAATTGCTCAGAGTGTACATCGGCGGGTAAGAATATAAAATCTGTTATTCCTAATTCACAAATTAGTGAACTTCATCCATTATCAGAACCAAATGAAGAACTTAATTTAGATTTCGCGGGTCCTTTGGATTCTTATTGGGGGTCAAATAAATACATTTTACTTTGTATTGACAGATTTTCTAAATTTCCGTCGCAAAAATTACATCATCTACCTCTTCAAAGACAGTTATAGAATTTTTACAAGACTACATATTCTTACACGGGATACCTTATTCTATAAGGGTGGATCATGCTACTTGCTTTACAAGTCAAGACTTCAAATCATTCTGCGATTCTAACAACATCAAAATAATCTTTTGTACAGTAGGCGATCACCGTTCCAACGGATTAGTCGAAAAACTTGTACACACTGTAAAAATCAAACTACTGGCTATCTCAAAAGAACATCATAAAACCACACTGCAAAATGCCGTTTCAAAAATCATTTGGAACCTACGTTCTACTTTCCAATCAAAAATTAAATGCTCACCTTTCGAGATCCACTATAACAGAAAACCAAATACTATTTGGAAACAATTAGCTTCGGGTAAACCTTCCTTTGGAATTTTAGACAAAGGGAAATCAATATTGTCTAAGGATCGAGCTAAGGATTGGAACGCGGATGATAGAATAGAGGACGGATACAAGGACGATTTGATTGCGAAGAAGAACCAAAATCCGACTGAAAAAGGCTACGATACAGACTATGCTTCATCCTCGAAAATGACTCAAAACAGAATACCAATCGAAAGCCCTTTTAAAGGTAAAATCCTTCGGAAAACTAATGGTAATATCAACCGAGACTGTTTTTATAAAGAACTAAACAAAAGAATTATAAATTCTTCGACTTCGACAGTTAAGTTATCCGACGGAAAAATAATACGAAAATCCGACATTGCGATTCCTATCTCTACCTCAAATAAAATCAGACCTTTTAGAGGAAACATTTCATTCCCGTACTTTTCTAACCCTAATGTTGAAGTAGGTCAGAAACTGGAAGGCTCAAAAAGAAAACCAAAACCCAAGAAGTCAACAAAAAGAAGGACCAGACAATTAGACCCGACATCATCCGATAACCTAACTAGGACACGCATTTCTGGATCATCATCCATCCCGACAAGAAGACAGACACGACGCTCAAAGAAGTCACCAACTCATCCAGGTTACCTCGCTTCGGATGAATCTATGCTAATTCCTTCGGATATTTCGGATACTAGTGAATGGGAATGGATAGCGGGCGGTTTTCCTTGTAGAGACGTAGCCAGAGAGCGCTTTATTTCGGATTCACTTACACCTCACATCTCAATCGGAAATAATTTTAATTCTACTATAACCAATCCTGAAATAAAATCTGAGATTTTAGAAAACGACAGTTTCCCAATCAGTGAACAACCCATGGATCAATCATATGAGTGCCCAATAAGTATAGTGCCAGCCAGCCGAACATCTAACTCGGCGGATCAGAGAACCGCAAATCAGGGAGGGGAAAACGACACCATTGGACAAAATGACTTACAAGTTGAGCATAATCCGACGGAGACCGACTCAAACACAGACTTTCCGGTGTATGAGATAAGTGACTCAACGGATGAGTGCACTATATCCAACAGTCCTGCCATAATACCCGGTAAAATTCCTATCCGTCGCTCTAGTAGAAATGTCGGCCCACCAAAATTTTATGGTCAACGTTACTTTATTGATGCCGTAGAGAGTGTCCAAGAAGCCTCTGGTTCGGCGGCCGAGCCTATTGTGTTAGAGATTGAGGAACCACATGAGACAATCAACAAGACGAATCCGGCGGAGTTAATTGTTCTAGATTCAGATTCATCATCTTCATCAGATCAAATGTCAAACTCATCAACCGATGAATCACTGAGAATGGAAATAGCAAATTTCGGCGACCACTCCGATCTTGATAGTGAACTTTTCAACACTGAACTCGAAAACTTTTTAAAAGACTATAAAACTTTATAACCACTTAGATATACTTTAATCTGATATTCTGGCTTACCAAATAACACACATTACTGAGTAAACCGGTGCTAACATTCAGATATTAACGGCCGTTCACTAAACTTAAGAACTTAACCCTGCGGATAAAATTTCATGTAGTAAAAAGAAGACATCTTCACGTGTTTTCCTAAATTCTTTAATTCGCCTTCACTCCAGTTTGTGTTTTACAAACCAAGACCAACTCCATTAAAATTATGTGCTATCTACGCATGTTACCTTGTAAACCGGTGCTAATTTTCCAGTTACCAAAATGTGTTTGCTAAATTCGACAACTTTATCCTTCGGATAAATTTCACCCTACAAAAGAAATTATCATCTGTTGCTCCCATAATTTCTTTAAATCATATCCTCTTCACTCGCGCATTATAAACCATGACCTCACTCATAAAACGTGGTCCTAAATTCAGCGTTGTGCCAAAACGTGATGCCTTTATCTCATCTTAACATAACCCTTATCCATCGGAATCTGGATAACCTTTGTTGCTGTCATTTAACACTAGTGGAGCTTACTTAGTGTTAGTACCTCATCTTAAGGCGCTTTAATTTTCTTTCCTCGTCCTTAAAGGGGGAGAAAGGAGTCAGTCATAGTTAGTTATTGTGCATTAAAATATTGCAATTTAAATTTTTTCCTGCTTAAGGGAATGTTGTGATTTTACATCAGGTTTTGCAATTATTGCTAAACATACTTATTTAATTAACTGGTCACTTAGTTATGACCTTCATTAGCCATTCTCTCCGGCGGAGAGAATGATCTCTCACTAGTTTAATGTTTTAACTTACCGACTAATTCATCTTAATTCTTATTCTTTTTAATAGTTTTAACTTAGAATTAGCTACAACAAAGTAACATTTTATCAGAGAATGCACAGCTTAATTAGGTTTGGCCAAAAGCATATTTCCAAATTTAGTTCTTGAAATCTTTTCCTTTCTTCAAACCTGTGCAAATCCTAAATTGCTAGGAGTGTATTTGTATTTTTTTGAATAAAGGGGAAAAACATTATTCTTTGTCAGCTTTTTTGCGTTTAAAATGTGCGAAATTGTTGTTTCCTGCACTCTGCAGGTACCAGTTGAACTCCCAAAATGGATCCCTCCGGAGCCATGAATTATAACCAGGGTGACGTTACCTTGAGTGCCCCGGGTCTGCATCAGACGAAGGTGTACCATATATGGGCAATGGGAGTCGGGGCAGTCATTGCCGGCGACTTCTTTGGCTGGCAGTCGTCACTTGTCGGTGGATTTCTGGGTAATAGTTCGCTAAAAATATAATTGACCAAAAAGGTGGCAAAAAGGCATTTTTTCCAATACAACCAAGCTAAAAAAATTATTTATTAAGCGAATTGTATTTTTTTTGTGTAAAATTTTTCAAGCTGAAAGCTTGAACAAAGCAGGTTTCTTAGAATACGTTTTCGATTGCTTTAAACACAAGTTTTATGACGTTTTATACCCTGCATCAACTTGATTCTTTTATTCTCTTGTTCTTGATTTGACCTTGAAATTATCTCTGGTCACTTAAATTTCCAATTCTGCGCCTCCTTTCCAGGTGCGTGTATCTCTCTGGGACTGGTGACAGTACTGTACCTGCTGCTTAGCCTGTGCATAGCTGAGCTGGCCTCGTTCAAACCAGACGCAGGGGGTCCATACACCTATGTCTCTGCTCTATTGGGACCCAACTTGGGCTTCCTCAGTGGGCTTTGTGAGGCCCTGAAAGTTATCACAGTGGGGGGAGTGGGCATATACGCCATTGGATCGTACATGGTCAGTCTCATAAAAAATCAACCCCCCCCCCCCCCCACCCCCGACCACCAATTGTCTCGCTCTTTCATTCACCTGTATTGATGATTTTTAACACTTCTTTTAAAATCTCTAAACTACATAGTTAAAAGCTGACCAAAATTGCAAAAAAGGTCAAATGCTATTGGATTTCTTAAACGAATTGCGCATCCTCCTTAATATTCCTTCAATATTTTATAACAATTCGAGTGATCCGTGCTCGTTGCTTCAGCGTAACTAGTAACAGTACAAAAATTAAACTAAAAATTAGAAAACGAAAAAGTCTTATCAGGGGACCCACAGCAGCTCCCCGTATGAAGCTCAGCGGTTCTTTTAGCCTGAGAGCGGGGGGAGGGGGGCTATAATGGGAAACAGACTGTGAGAATTCTTTGCTTCAATTTTAAAGCGCAAAATAAGCAACTCTCCTTCTGAAATAAGCCAAGTCTGTTCTCTCCTTTAATTAGAACCGCTGTTTTGCTCCCACTCAAAGATGTTCATTAGGTGAAGATTAGGTGTTATTTCAGGTGCAGATAACCGACACGGATCCCTCTTGGCAACCCCTCTGGTGGCTTGCCTTCGTCCTCTTCTTCACACTGGTGAATGTGGTCGGACTCAAGTTCTCTTTCCACGTGGAACTAGCCATCACCCTCATCTCTGTGACTGTGCTCGTGGTGTTCTATCTAGGAGCCATTCCCAAATTCAATTTCGACAAGGTGCGATGATCTAACATTTTTTAGCGTGGTTTATAATTTTTCACGAAAATACATCTGAAATTTTTTAAAATATATTTCGCTGAAATCCCAAATGATCATCAAATTGGCGATCACAGAGATTTCATCTAAAAAAAACCTATTTTTGGAGTTTTAGAAAACTTTTGCCCTCGTGTCATTCTCAAATCAGAAGTATGTTGGCACTGAAGTCACTTGAAGATCTATTTACAGGGAGACCAGTCAAAAATATTTGATATAAATTATAATGTAGTAGAAATAGATTAATAGATTTCGAAAGATGCGGAGCTTCGTTAATATATCAAGCTTCTACTTATGAGTTTAAAATACGTTAAGCTCTTCTGAACACATGAAACAAAAAATCTCTAGTGTAAATTTTACGCTGCCCGAATATTGGATGAAAGTTAATTTTGATAATTTTGATCAAAAACTTTTACCTTTTAGGCGGTTAACTCAAAGTTTAAAAATAGCTGAACCGTTAAAAGCAGAGAGATCATTTCGGTCAAATGTAGATCCATATTTTCTATGAACCGTAATTGTGTCATTTCAGTGGGTGCTCGGAAATTGCGACTCAGACGATCTTTCAGTGAGTATTGTTTCATATTGGGCTAAAACTTCTTCAATTTTGTAGGTCTCTTGGTATGAAAAAAAAAACAGAATTATCCTATAGAAGACAAAAAGTACGTAAATTGAAAGGCCATTTTGAACATTAGCAGCTTGTTGCTGGGAAATTAACAGAATGTTCCGATCATGTTTTAGTCTTCAATTGGACTTGCACAATACGAAAAAAAAACACTGTAAAGATTCTTTGTGTTCTTTAATTTCATTCAGTTTTTTGGGTTTCTTTTCAGAATACTTGTTTTATGGGGTTGTATCCTTAGTTATTAAATACGGAGAAAAGAAATTTTGAATGATTGAATATTGAATGTGGGGGAGAGTATATCGTTTTTATGAAGCATTTATTTAGGGCAACTCCTCGGCATGTCCTCAACGCTGGCTCTATCCAAACGGACTAGATGGGCTGTCAGCCGGAGTATCTTTTGCCCTCTGGTTCTACCTGGGCATAGAAGAGATCCCCATGGTGGTGGGGGAGGGGTCAGATGACTCAAAGAAGGTGGTCGTGGGCATACTCTCAGCTATGGCTACTTTGACAGTGTTGTCTGGGTGTACTTTGCTGTTTAGCTGTGCCATAGAGCCGGGTGCCTATGCTATTTCAACTGACAACTCGCCGCTGCTCACTGGTTAGAATAATTATACGCCAATAGATCTAAGGCTGTTAACGATAGGAATCCATCAATTGCCTTTCACGTATGCATGTTATGAAATAATTACTAAGAATGGAGTCTAAAAAAACTTTGGCAAAAAAATTTGAGACAACGGTGGTTCCGTCAGAAACTGGTTTTAAGGTTAAGTTTGTGGAAAAAATAATAAAGGCTAAGGCGCAGAAAAAAACTCGACAAAAAATTGCAATGTGAAACTCATCAAATATCTCTTTGAACCCCTGTTCCTTGCAACCAGATAGAAAATGTGTTATAGGCTACCGCACTATAGTAAATCATGGCAATTGGTTCGAGTACTTCTCCTGGGTCATTGTGGTGGGATTCGTGGCAAGTTGTATGTCTTTCCTCCTTTGCGCCGGAAGACTTCTTTTCGCCATGTCCAGGCAAGAGGCCAGCATGCTATGATTACATCCTATGACTACCTGCTATGTATCAACCAGCCCCTTCCTACTTTAAACTGTTTATCCACTAGAACAATTCATAACTACATATGACTCGTAAAACTTTAAGCATATCACACGAGCCACATAACCAGGGCCTTTGAAATTAAACAAAAAACAAGGACAAAAAACGTGGAGATGTTTGCACGAAGTTTAGCAAAAATAATAACAAAGGAAACAAAAAGTGCCAAAATTCAAAATTTTGTTAGCCCTTCTTTCACCACTCTATCACGGGGAATGGTATAGAATCGTTCAATGGGAACGTTACAGATTTCTCGGTTTTGTATCCGCTTGAATAAATTTTCAGTGGGTCAAGGCTCAAAATTTGGGCTGACTTAATTTCAGTCTTCATAAGTCTGTTTAAAATAATTTTAAGAACTGAAAGCTCTTACAGTTTCAGACTACTTTTCACGTAGTTTTTTCGTGGATAATTTTGCTTTTTTCGTAGTTTTTCGCTTTTTTATTTGACTTGTGTAATAAAAAAGCAATTGTTAAGGGACGGACTTCTGCCGGCTCCTCTGTCACGTCTGTTGCCCAAAGCAGACACTCCGTATATCGCGCTGATTACGTCATCGGTGCTGAGTTACGCAATAACTGCCTTATTGTATTGCATAACAGGTGGAGACGATCAAGTAGGATCTGCACTGATCAATATGGCGTTGTTTGGTAAGCAATTTATAGAACTTAAATTAAAAAAAAATCAGTACGGAGCTACGAAAAATTAACATGCCTTTCTTCATTTTTCTGTGCACAACGCGGGAGCGAAAAAAGTTTTTCTCCGATTCATATCAAGTAGTTTAAAGGGATTGAGTTATATTATAGGTTACTGTACTCATAGAGTAATTTCAGATAAGGTACACCGTCTGATCGTCACGCTATCTTATTTTCGGAAATAAATATATAACAATACTTTCAAGAAAAATTATTACTTTTGTTACTAAAATACCTGAGACAAAGTAAAATGGTGATATTCACATTCCCGAACTTGCCCTCGAGCCAAACCACCAATCGTATTTTTTTAGGTGCTCTCGTTTCATATTTCCTGCAATGTGCGTCACATATCAAGCTCGTGATGAAATACCCCAACAGGACATGCTACAAATCGCCCTTCGGAATTCCAGGCACAGTTGTCTGTCTATTTTTATGCCTCTTATCTTATGCGTGCATCATCAAAGAGGGCTTGAAATCATTAATTTTTCTGTATTCCCTGATCGGTGCTATTCTATGTGTCTTATTGGGCATGGCATATCACTTTGTTAAACTTAACGTGCAAAAAAGAAGGGTTGAAAATTATGATAGTCTTAACTGAAACTGAAATCATTTTCTTTATTATTTATTAGATTAGCTTAGTTTCTGATTTAATTCATTGTCTTTTTTCAACAGCTTTTCTAAAGTAAAAAATGCACATTCAAAAAATAGTGTTTGTCATTTTTCTTGTCTTTTCCTAATTTTTCAAAAACAAAAAATTAAATTGAAGCTCAACTCTCAAAGTTCTGAGAAAATTTTAATAGACTACTTTGATTTTGAGGTTAAATTATAGTGATTTTTAATAGTAAAACATGAATATGAAAGTCTTAAATACATATTTATAATACCAGAAAGGATAGCCAGTTGCTGTGCAAGTAGCTCAGAAAGTTCCGACCACTTTCATTAAAAAACTACAAAAAAAAGTAGTGCGTGGTGTGATGAGAAAAGTATAAAACGCGTAAATTTTTACGAAATATTAGCAAATTAGTCACAATCGATAATAATGTTTTTCAAAAATTGTTTTAGAAACTTTGTTTCCCAGGAAACTCAAAATGAAGCTTTTGAAACTAATTTTCTATTCAGTAAAATTAAGTTTTTTCAGCCTAAAGGAGCAGGTTTCGATGTCTACTATCAATTGCTTTCCTTGCTCGAAAATAGATTAAAACTCAAATGCTTCGAAACGGTTTTTCTCTACTTGTTTTTGAAATATTTTTAATGCCATTCGAATCTTGATTCAAAGGGTTTTTTATATAAACTATCAATCAAACTGATCCGATTATTTTTTTTACCTGATTTTGCGTGAAAAAAAATCTAAAACACACCCAAATAAAAAGTTCCTCCCCATTTTCAATGATTAAAAAACCGATTTTATTGAAATGAAAAATTTTGGTGATTGATATTTTCCTTTTCAAAAATGTTTACATATTGGAGCGAAATTTTTGGAAGTTTTTCAGACAAGTAAACAACAAAAAAAACTAAGAACAAAATTCAAATAAAACAATATGGAGTTATAACGATAGTCATTAGAAAAAAAACAGTGATTTAGAAACCGTTTTTAAGAGCATTTTTTCGTTTTTGCAACTTTTACAGGGTTAAGAATATTTGTCCACGAGGGAAAAGATTAAGATAGAGCTCTATAAAATGTTTCAGAGAGAACCGCTGCTGCTCTAAGAAAAACAATTGAGTAACAAGTAATTGTCATTAGGGAAACTAAAATCTGTTTCTAAAGTAAAAAATGCACATTCAAAAAATAGTGTTTGTCATTTTTCTTGTCTTTTCCTAATTTTTCAAAAACAAAAAATTAAATTGAAGCTCAACTCTCAAAGTTCTGAGAAAATTTTAATAGACTACTTTGATTTTGAGGTTAAATTATAGTGATTTTTAATAGTAAAACATGAATATGAAAGTCTTAAATACATATTTATAATACCAGAAAGGATAGCCAGTTGCTGTGCAAGTAGCTCAGAAAGTTCCGACCACTTTCATTAAAAAACTACAAAAAAAAGTAGTGCGTGGTGTGATGAGAAAAGTATAAAACGCGTAAATTTTTACGAAATATTAGCAAATTAGTCACAATCGATAATAATGTTTTTCAAAAATTGTTTTAGAAACTTTGTTTCCCAGGAAACTCAAAATGAAGCTTTTGAAACTAATTTTCTATTCAGTAAAATTAAGTTTTTTCAGCCTAAAGGAGCAGGTTTCGATGTCTACTATCAATTGCTTTCCTTGCTCGAAAATAGATTAAAACTCAAATGCTTCGAAACGGTTTTTCTCTACTTGTTTTTGAAATATTTTTAATGCCATTCGAATCTTGATTCAAAGGGTTTTTTATATAAACTATCAATCAAACTGATCCGATTATTTTTTTTACCTGATTTTGCGTGAAAAAAAATCTAAAACACACCCAAATACAAAGTTCCTCCCCATTTTCAATGATTAAAAAACCGATTTTATTGAAATGAAAAATTTTGGTGATTGATATTTTCCTTTTCAAAAATGTTTACATATTGGAGCGAAATTTTTGGAAGTTTTTCAGACAAGTAAACAACAAAAAAAACTAAGAACAAAATTCAAATAAAACAATATGGAGTTATAACGATAGTCATTAGAAAAAAAACAGTGATTTAGAAACCGTTTTTAAGAGCATTTTTTCGTTTTTGCAACTTTTACAGGGTTAAGAATATTTGTCCACGAGGGAAAAGATTAAGATAGAGCTCTATAAAATGTTTCAGAGAGAACCGCTGCTGCTCTAAGAAAAACAATTGAGTAACAAGTAATTGTCATTAGGGAAACTAAAATCTGTTATTTGTTGCAAACTATAAGATTCCCAAAACTACAGCCGGCATCAAACAAAATATAATTCCAAGACTTCCAAAATATAATTCCAAGACTTCAATGAATTTTATTTTCGACATGTATGCAGTACTCTAAGAAAACAGAACAACTTCGAGCTAGCAATAGATTATCATCAAGTTTCTTATAGCAGTAAATGTTACGACTTTCAGGGGAAAGGAGGAATATATATGATTGTATGGTTTTTTAGACAAATTTTACACAACTCTTCGGGGTGTTGGGAGATTGATGTCCTAGTCTTCATGAATCCAGCCGGGTTTGGAGACCACTATAGTAACCTTCCACGAGATTGTTTAAACTACTCGTTTTATAATTTACACGCGTGACAAATTATCCCGCAATACAAACTTTTTCCATTTTGAATTGATGCAACTTATTGGTTTTATTAATTCCATTTCATTACAATTAATTCCATTACGACTAAAACTGTTACACTTTAGTTTTAACATGATCAGCCTGGAATTCATTTTTTGTCAATTCTTAATTTACCAAAAACTTTTCGAGACCAAAACAGTTGTATTTTGAAGCCAGCATCCAACAAATGGACAAATCACGTCAGATAGATTAAAACAAATTGTCAATTTAACTAGTCTGATTTACGAGCGAAGAGTAATTAATTGGTTCAGTTCATTTTTTGTTTTAACCACCTTTTTTATCCAACTTTTTTTTATAAAAGTGCTGAAATATTTGTTCTTGGGGTGGTTTTTTTCTTAGACAAATTTATTGAAGAATTTATGACGGAGTTTTTCCTAGAAATCAAAACGTAGTCGATCTCCAAACATATCAAGGTCTACAAAGAAATCAAAACGCAGTCGGAACAATCAAGGATTTGCCCTGATACGAGCTATTTTGTTCATATAAGTGTGATACCAAAACGCAGAGATTTTTGAAATTAAACGACCAGTTATTTCTTGAGAACTCATATTTTTTCAATGAAAAACTGGAGAAAGTCAATTTTGTGATCCTAAAAACGATTTTCAAGAGCACCAACCAGATGTATTCCAAAGGGAAACTGCTGACACAAGAAATTTGTGATTACAAATATCTACTTCTTTGATTGTATTTACTGATCCGACCATTTGAAAAATGTGAAGGAATTTTGTATTCGGTCATGTTTCATTTTTTTCAACGCAAATTTGAGTTCTATAGCGTATTAAGTTCTTTCAGCCTGAATTCGAAAGACATTGAATTTAAAATTTTTTTTTCAAGTGTCTAGAAAAATCGGTTTGAAATTTTTGATTTTTGGTCTCAATTCGAGTTAATAAGGTGAGCGTTCAGGCTTAGAATAGCTTATTTAAGCTTATTTTAAGCCGTGAAAGCTTACTTTTACTCAAGTAAAATTAGTTGTTGGAGTTTTTTTTTGCTTCATTTTGGGAATCATAAACTTCAAAAATTTGAAAACTCTCTGCGAAAACATTAGAAATTTTTTTTGAAAAGTTTTAATTTCTCATTACGGTTCATTTTTCTTTTCATTTCCTTACAGAAATTGTTTTCAATTGGCCTTTTTGACTATGACCGTCGAATGTGCTTAAATTCTATTTTTTCGCTCTGATCTTTTTATTACACTACACAGAAAAACGACACTAGTTCTTATGACTGGTCGGAACATTCTGTTATGTTTTCACAGTAACTAGCTATCCTTGCTAAAATTCCCCTTTAAATAAAAAAAATTCTCGGAACCATAAAAATATACTTTTTTGTGCGCGGCTCTCTAATAAAGTACATTTAGGAGCAGACCTTTTAGAAAACATTTTAAGTTACTAATGGATGTCATTAAGCATATTTTCAGCTGCCTTTAAGTTGCTGTGCAATGGATGTTACAAGAATCTTCATTCGTGGACCATTGCCTATATGAAAGCTCAAGTTTGACTCTGATCAAAGAAAAAAAACCCGAACAACGAGAAAAAATTTCGCAAAGATCACAACTTTTTTTTCTAAAACTCTTTTGTCGTTTTATCCAAATTTCACAATCTTTTTATAGTGTTTAGTAGAAAACAATATTTGGAGCAGGATTCTATTACAATTATCATTGTATCAAAAACGTTGCGGCGCCAAGGGCTTGATTGTGAGATGAAAACAACAAAAAGCAGGGCCTAGATGGAAAAGAGATGGCTCAAAGGCTAGCGACCTCTATCTAATTCTTGACTAAAATGTGGAAACCTTCAGAAGTTTGGAGCTGCTTGTTCTGTCAAAATTACGGAAACAAAGAAAACTCCAAGTGCAAAAAGCTTTATCACTGCGGCTTTGAAACTGCAGCATGCTCGTTAAGCAGGTTCGTCTAGGGGACTCGACTTATTTTCTTATCTCTGCTTAAAAATTTTCAAACAAAAAAAATTATTTATTAAAGTGACATTAGAAATAACATCATGAACAGTTTATTTGAGCGTATAAAACTAATTTGTAGATGCTTTGATATTGCAAGATTTTTTTTTACAAACAGTAAAATCAAATCTTAATTTACCAACGCTTGCAATTTAGGACAAAATATTCAATGTTGTTGTTTTTTTCAAATTCTAGATTAAATCTGTGTTTGAGAAAATTTTCAAACACATCCAGTTGAGAGCGAAATCGGAACATTCGAGCATTGCGATGACGACACTGCGTAACCCGAGTTTGTCTGATTCGTGAACTGGGTTGACCTCAAGCACCTCTTGGTTGACCTTTTGGTTGAGAATTTGGACAGAAAAGGGCAGAAAATGACAAGACTTGTAGTGACTATAGCCAGCACGTATCCCCACCCTAAGTGACAGTTGCCCATATTGTACATGGACACATTAGGGCCACACATGTTCCTAACGAAGACACTTCTGAATCCCATGGGGAAGATGGCGAGAGCAAATGACTGAACAAGAACTGAAACAAATCAACCAGAATCAATTTCAAAATCTGCTCTCAAATCGAACAATAATTATCTACAAGGGCAATCGAATTGCCTTATAGTGCAGAGAGTTGCCACTTTTTTAAAGCACTTTTTCAACAAGTAAGTAGCTTATAGAGTTTTATAAATGATAGAGGGCTCGTATTAGCGCAAATTCTGAATGTTCAGACTGTTCCTAAATTAGTCTCGAACAGTTTTTGATAAGAAAAATTTTTGATTAACTGCACCCAAACTCTGATTGTTATTATTATAAATTGAGTCGTAGGCAAATCTTATGACTAAACAAATTACCTCAAACCTTTTTGGTACAATTTTGTGAGTAGGATAATTCGCTACCCTTAAGCAGTTTTCCCTTACACTTTGATCATCTCAAACAAAAAACTTGGCGCGCGCATATGTTAGTCCAAAACGGCTTTTTTCCAACCTTTAAGACTTCACTAAAATGATTGATAGTAGAACAATTTTTACAGTTGAACTCAAGGTTTCCTGTTTTAATTGCGCTGTGAAAACTTTTTGTTGAAAAATGTTTTTTGATATAACTGAAATTGATGTTATGAGAAGAATACACCAAGCATTTCGTAACTGTATTGAAAAACAGGCGTAACAAAAGTGCTCGTGTCATGACCCGACCTTGATGTTTCCATTTCTTTTTTTAAGTATCTGCATTTGTTTTTTCTTCCAAATCTAGAAACTTTTCAAAAAAAAAATTCCACATGCATCATTTAATTTGAAGGATTGAATATCAGGCGCAAGCTACACCCTAATTAAAACTTGAAATAACGCAACTTATTCATCCCAAATTGGGCAACTCAAAATTTTCAAACACCAATAAATTAGGAAAAAAGTCGCAAGTGAAATATCAGTTTTGGATCTCTTTAAGTATATCGCCCCTTTCTCAAAGGGGGAGATCGTTACTTGGTTTAAATTCTCATATGCTCAACCGTTGATTGTTTGTTCCGAATGTCGAAGGAAGTGAGAAATAGATATATCTGGGGTGTTTTTTTTATTCAGACCGATTCTAGAAAAGTTGACCGCGTATGGGTTTCGATCCTGTAATCCTGTAACCTTCGAACTGCCAAGCGAGTATGCTTGCAAAAAATAATAAAATTTGAAAATTTTTCTATGAAAATCATCCCCCCACACGCCATATTAAGTAAAAAACAATAGATTTCGCTCCTTGTAACAATAAAGTAATTATGGCAAATAAGCTTCTTTCAACCACTTTGGAACGATTTCTAAGACGGATTAACTCTCCGCTTACGCGTTAATAGCACGAATTGATTGCGCGTTAATTGTCCCAAATTGGTCAAAATGGCCAAAATGGCAATCTCTAAACCCTCATAACTTTACGAAAAATGTTCACAGGTAAAATATCTTTTCAAATTTAAGCTCAGGACAACAATAGCTTTCGAATGATATAAGAAAATTCCGTCAAAACTGGCTAGTTAAAAAGTCGAAATTTGTCTGAAGAAAAAAAAACCCACCCCGAGCACAAATATTCCGTTACTTTTGTATCGAAAGTCGGAACCAAAAATTGCCATTGGCGTTGTTACTCAAACAGATTATTTTACAACGCAAACTGTTCATGCGTGACAAATGATCCGCATTCATAATCAATCCAAATTGAAGTGAAGCAAGCTAATTGGTCGTATTAATTCTATGCACGACTCAAAGTTTAACAAGTAAAAATTGATATTATCAGCTTAAAATTCTTATTTTACCAAAACCTTCAAAAACTAATCGAGACCACTTAATGGGCAGTCGGAACATTCAGGGCTTTTCTTTATAGCGGGATATTAGTTACTAGGTACCCGTGGGGCATATAGTTAAAGAGATCCTAAATATATATAATTTGAGCTCAAGGTATCAATATTTTGAAGGGTGTCATATATTTTAACAACACTCAATTTAACACCGTACTTTTTCATAATAGTCATTTCATTCTTTACAGTGTAAATTGCAGACAATTCAGCTCCTATTTTATAACTTGACACCGAAATGTTAAAACTTCGCTCTATAATTAATAACTTCCTACTTTTATACTTTTGACAGTCCTTCAACAGAGGGTAGGTTTGTATACGAAAAATAGAGCCGTTTATCACTGCGCAGCGGCGACAAGCGCGAATGGCTCCCACCGGCTGCATTAAATTGAGCGTCGTTAAAATATAGTAATTTTTAATTGCTAGGGTAATAAATAGTGGGGTGTATAAAAATGTACTGCATTGTACATTTGGAGATAAACATGTGGAAAACTCTTTCAAAGGTTTTAAAAAACTCTCAAAAATGATTAATTAAAAAAATTAAATTGGTCTGAGAAAAAACTACCCCAAGCATAAATACTCCATCAATTTTTTTTCTCAATCGGAACAAACAAAAGGGATTTTGTCGGCAAGCTTTTTTTCATACCGACACATGTTTTTAACACATTATGCTTTTTACCAAAAACCAGCCTTGAATCCTTGAGTTTCATATACAGGCTGCCGACAGTTTTTATAACTTTTTAACATTTTTTTTACTCTCAAGTAACCACCTATTTCGGTGTCCAAATCAGTTTGTTGAAAATTGCAGCTCCAGATCTAAGTTAAATGCTGGTTTCTAGAATGCGGTGAGAGGGAGGGGTTAACATTAGTGTGCTATAACATCAATTACAAATGTCAATGTTATAAATAGCGATCGTTAAGGAAATTGCTAAGAAAATGTTGGGGAAACAACTATCGGGTACTATTACATAATACTGCTTCCCACTGACATTTTCCGTTTTGTTTATTCTTTGAAGAGCTTCCAATTAATCATAGTTGTTACAATTTTTTCAGCCATTCTTCCTAATTAGACGAAAAATCAGCAGGAAATTTGAGGTTAAAATCACTCCTATAAAGAAAAAACGAGGCCCGTCTTAGTAAAAACTATCCCTTTCTCATTATTTCAAAGACCTAATTAGATATAAGGTCGTTTTTGAAGAAAAAAATAAAGAAAAGTTGAAGAAAACTTGAATAATCTGTGTTTTCAGCGTCTTAATCTTTATGAGCGCGAATTTAATCTTCTTAAGACAAGCAAATTCGAGGTTGGAATTGATTGCATTTGAAAGACAGACAAAATGTGCGATTAAACTTATTGAAGGGAGGAAGTACAAAAAATCAGCTGAAATCAATGGGCGTTTCTTATCTGCAAAAAAGTACTTTTACGAGGAGTAAATCTAGTAAATTTTTCTTCCTGGTTCGACAATTGATTTTGGTCATTTAGAAAAAAACGCAATTTTCAAAGATAATTGACTTGGTTTGGAAGGATTTAAGAATAAGTTGAGAAAATTTGACGCCAGAATGCATTTAAAGTTTTAGGAAAAACAGACTTTTAGTCTGAAAAGGTCTTTAAAAGTGTATTTCGAGACAGACCCTTAGGCGTTATCTTTTGTGCACATGTTATCTTTTAATAAAAAAGTATTTTCCATTACTCTAAGTAGTAATTGAACTGTGGGGAAAAGAAGCCCGTTTTCAATGGGAGGACGTAGCGATAGAAATAATGACAACTCGTAGTCTATAATTATCTGGAAAGGTCATTCACAAATGGATAACAAAAAATAAAGCCAGTATTAGCTTACGCTTTTAATTATATGTCTAGAATAGCGAAAATGTCACAAATTTTGTTAAGTACTGGTTCCAAAGTTGTTTCAAAGCGCATGTAAGGGGACATTTTGTGTCTTTTTGGGGTAATTTTTGACGGAGACTATAGATAATGGGTAATTTGTTGATCACTCTTCCATTTAAGACACAGATTTATCCCAGATTAAGTCGAAATGTCCTTTAATTATCATACCTACAGGACAACATAACCTATAATTGGAAGAGGATTATAGCAGCCCAAACCTACACGATTTGAGAAGGTCCATTGGTACCGAAAAACAAGGAAATCTAGGAGTACGTCGACACCTTATCGAAATGAGATTAAAAGATTTTTCTCTCACGATCGAAAATGGAGATCGATTTCACAGGTGATCACAAACGCAAGACTGAAATTTGATCTCCGTATCTGTAATTCTGGTCTATAGATATAGATTTTGTTTATTACTCAGACGTAAATAAGGCCGCTGATTAACTGGCATGTAAGCTAAACATATGATTACAAATACAGCTCAGAGATCAAAGAAAAGTGTAAATAAACAATCCAAAGTTTTATTCTCCAAAAAATCTGAAAAAATTACCATTCGCATTTTTTTAGGGACTGCGACCCCTACCTCAGGTATTCGAACTCCTCTCCAAGCAGAGTCGAGCAATTTACATGCAGCGCTTAGCAAATTTAATTTTAACTCAGCGCTGGGGTGGAGTATCTTAACTTGGTCTATTTGGGGGGAGGATGTTAACTTGATCCCCCTTTGATATTATTTTATGACATCCATTTTCGGCCGACCAACCCTAAAATTTTTTAAAGGCGCCAATATATAGTGGCTTTGAAGGGGAGCGCGCGCCGAAAAACGCGATTGTTTGGTCAAAATTTTCAGAAAAAAACGAACAAAAATGCCATTTTTGTCCTGTTTTTTTTTCAAAAGTTTGCTTGCGGCGCAATTTTTTTTTGTCCAAAAAGGCTCTTTATAGTATTCAAAAATTCAATTTAGTGTCAACCTAAAAAAGTACGACCAAATTTTTTAAAATCGCTTCCCCATATCCCCCCCCCCCCCCCCCCCCCTTCCCCCATCGAGATAATCCTCGATCCGTCCTTGTCCTAAAGGGTCGAATATCACTGTCAAAATTCCTGTCAACCGGTCAAAATACCCTTGTCAAAGTCTTTATGCTGTAATTTAGCTGGAAAAGACTTCCCCAGAAGAACCCCTGTCATAAGAACCAGTCTTATACTGAGAAATAAATTGATGTTAAATGCATAAGAGGTCATTGGTCTGTCCAAAGGTCATATAATAAATTTCAAAGAGCAAACTTTCGCATATTTTTTGTTTGAAAATCGGCCTAAAAAGAACTCAAATAATAATTTTTGGCTTTTATGATAAAAGGCATTATTTATTAACTTTGAAAAAGCTTAAATAAATTCAGTGACTTGGAACAAAAATACACCTTTGAAGCAAACACAAAATTTCAAAGTAATATCAAACGTTTTTTGTTTTCTTTAGATTGGCTCTTCCCTAAAGTTTAGAGCACACTGACACCAGAGGCGCTTTAAAAAATTAGGACTGGTCAACCAAAAATCGACATCGGAAAATGGTATCTAAGGGGGAGCCTCTGGATGCTAAGGGGTCGAATCCTTGAAAAAAGCATCTCCCACCCCCTTAAATCTGCTACTACCTTGATTCATTACAATAGGCTCGTTTGTAGCTTGTAAGTTTGTGGATCTACTTAACAACCTTCCCCCTATGGTATGGTATCTAAAGAACTTCCACCCTTCTGAATAAAACAGTAAATTAGCACTAGAGCTTTCTGGCGAGAATTTTAATTTTGCTGCATTCTGATTGGTCGAAAATTCGATTAACTTACTCTTTTTTTTAACAATCTCCCCCCTTTTCTGAAAGGGGGAAAGATTGTTAGCTAGATGCAAGTTCGTATATTCTTAACCGTTAGATTGACCCTTTATTAGTGTGTACGTGTAATTTTTGAAATATTGAAACGATCCCGTTTAAATTCCGGGAGAATCAAAAACTTTCAAAAAGTATAATATATTTTGGACAAAAGTTAAATTACCTGCTGAAAGTTGAAAATATCCGGCGAGCCAGCTCGTTCTTTGTCGCCAAACTGAAAGTGTCAACAAAGACGAAAAAGCGAAAATCGATGCAATTAGCAGAAAAAACGTTCCGACAGAATAGAGAAGAGCTGTGACTTGAAAGGGACTGCTCGGCCAATTCATCACTCCATTGTCTAGAACGAAGTATGAACAATGCTGAACAAAGTACAGGTTGTCTTCCACAGTCAGTTGGCAAGATTTCATCGGGCCGAATCCATTTTGGTCAGAATCGGCGAACTGCAGCACCCAAGTCGAAGAAATTATGCTGAAGGCGGAGAGAAACGCGAGTGTGACGGAAATTAGAGTCCATAAAACTCCTGAAAAATAAGAAATCATTAAAATGTTCTGCTTTTTTCCGAAAATATTCCAAGAAAACTAATTCAAATACTCTTGGGTTTTGCAACCAGTAGCGGATTTAGGGAGGGGGGGGGGGCGGAGGGGCGGACGCTTTCCCTTCAGGGATTCGACCCCTGCCGACCCAAATGGTCCCCTCGTTGTACTATTTTGAGATATCCATTTTTGGTGACGGACCTTAAAAGTTTTCTAAAGGCGCCTTGGGCGCCAATATATACTAATTTTAAGGGTGGAGAAATTTTTTGGTCAAAATTTTCCAAAAAGTGTCTAAAAACGCAATTTTTGGCCTTTTTTCAAAACCTTGCCTGCGGCGCAAAAAATTTGGTCAAATTAGGGTTTTATAGCTAAGTTTTTTGAATATCCGCCCCCCTCGAGAATTTTCTAGATCCGCGCCTGTTTGCATTCTTGTCCAGCGAATACAAATTCGAAGAATTGACTAACTCGTTTGCAGCAGTTTTTTCGAATCTCGTACAATTTTTTTTGCTCAATCGAAAATTTCGTCAGTTTTATCTTCACCGTCCCATCCGCCATAATCTGGCAGCAATAACTTATCTGATATTTTTCTTTTTTTTTGATCGAAACTTGATGTTAACTGAGCATTTACAGAAATAATGCTAGATCAATAGAGCAATCTCCCCCCCCCCCCCCACCACTTGAAAATAGTTTGAATGATATGAAATCATAGAACAGATTCTCCAACGAATATGAAACGCCAAAATTTACTATATCAAAGATCAAAAAATACAATCAGAGTGATAAAGAATCAATAAAACTGAGTCATATAAAGCGACTTTTTTTCTGTCCTAAAAGGATAAAAAATGTATTGCATACAATATTAAGGTGCTGCAGAGAACAGTTTTTGATCTTCAGATAGAAGGCTAGATCATCAACCCTGGTAAGTCGCATACCTCGATGAGGCAATGGTCGCCCAAACAAAAATTTGCAAAAAAAAAAATTTTTTAAATAAAATTCGATTTTTTTTCAAAATTTTTCTCGATAGTCATATAAAATAAACTTCAGACGGTCAATTGATTGCGTGCTACAACACATCAACTATCTTCTTGCTTTTTCTGATGTCTTTTTGTAGTGGTTTACCGTTTTTGCTTGCGGGGGGGGGGGGGGGTTGATAGCTCAATTGGTCATTACGTGGTGGAGATTGATCCATTATGCTTTAAAAAATGGCAAAATAATTGTAAATTTAAAAACGGTGTTCTCACCAATCCATGTAAGGGAAGGAGGCATCAGCTTTTTGGCCAAATAAAATCGAGAACCGAATGCACTAGTCGGCATTTCCGAACTACAGCCGAGTCGGTTTCCTAAATCGTCTCTAGCACAAATGCACCTTTCGTGGATGATCGGCAACATCGACTGCCCGACTTTTTGGCCGAGCTCGTTACTCGGCAAAGTTATGAAACTCTGGGCATTGTAATAACCATGGTAGCCCAAAGTCGAGTTTTGAGACGCTACAACATTGTCCAGCGAATGCAGAGACGAAGAACTGACTATTTCGCCTGTGTTGCTGCTCGGCTCTTTGCAAGTCGAAGAACTCGTTCCGTGAACATTTTGAACGGTCGGCAACGGGAACAAATAACTGTTCAAATAGAAAGGGTTGTTCTGACTAGTCTGGAATTCTTGAACGGGCGATTCGGAAATTGAGTAGTTTTTGGAACTTTTGAGCGACTGGTAGTAATTTTGAGGCTCCGGGACGAAATTGACGACCTGTCGTTTTTCTAATTTTGGGGAAAGGTTTTTGACGAAGTTTTCCAAAGATGTTAACTCTACTTCAGTAAGTTGGTTTTGCTGATGATTTTTATTAATCGCAACTTCGCTAGCCATAATAAAACCTGTTTTTACTGCAAAAACAGCTATGTTAGCTACTTTTGGTTATTTAAATGATTGCTTGTCGAAAGTTTTCCACCTGTTTTTGTGATATTTTACAATTTAGTCGTAGCTATAAATTGTTAAAGCTATTGAAAGCAAATTGGCATAAAATATCCGGTGAAAACTGAATTCAGAAAAAGGGAAGAATTTTGTGGAATTGAATTTTGGGGACAATCTTAGTGTGAATTTTCCTTCCGACGTACCGAATTTGCGGGCAGGGTAATTTGCCTCAGCCAATGAAATCGTTTTCCTTGTATTCTATTTGCAATTAAATTGATATAGATAGCCGAATTTAAAATAGATTTCAGGGAATACAACTTTTTGATGACTACGATAAAAGATAAACTCTTCTCAACTAAAAAGTGACGAATTTTTTTTCTTTCATGACTACTTTTTTAATTGAAAAAAATACCTTGATTGTTTTTGATTAAATTCTAATTCGATTGGACACGCATAAAATTTAAAAAAATGTCACATATTGAGATTTAAAAAACTGAAAATTGATTATTTTTTCAAAATAAAGTTCTGCACTTATGAAGAAAAAATAAGATTATTTTTCAATAGTTGTTAATATTTAATTGATACCCCAGAGTACATCCGCATCTCAGTGTTGGGTTTCCGCTATCTGTCAATTTAGATCTCCTTTTCAGAGACAAATCTGGCATCGAATTTCCCGAACAAGCTCATTAAAGGGAGAAGAAAACACTTAACTGCAATACACGTGAGCTAATTTGTCCCTACGTGAACAGGAAAAGAAATCGAAATGCCTTTTTTCTTCTCTCCATTATATCTGGATAAAAAATGTCTCACTAACTCGTCTTCACCCGAAAAATCTACTGATGCAATATGTGATTGTATTGGGTCTTACTCAGGGGCGGATCTAGGATTTTATCGAGATGGGTGACTGCTTTTCAAAAAAATTTGAAAATTTTGTCGGCCTTTTTTGTAGGTAGACTAAACTGATTTTCTTGGCTCTTTTAAATAACTTTAACAACCCTATTTTAACCAAAGTGTATGCGCCATTTTTTTTGAAAAAAAAAGCCGGCCAAGAAAGCATTTTTAGGCATTTTTTGGAACATGTTGACCTAAAAAAGTTTTTTCTTTGGCGCACACTTCCCCAAAAACTAATTTAGAAAAATTTTTCTAGCAACTTCACCATATTTTTTCAAAAAAATGTATGTACGGTTTTCCGACAATGTTTGCCAGTGAAATGATATTTCCTTTTAGGCAAATCGATTTTTTTTGGAAAAACCAGTAAAAAAAAATATTATTTTGGAAACGTTGTGCTGCCTTTTAGTTTGTTTACTGGAATTGCTCTTTTTTATTTTCGTCCACTTGAAGTATATTTTAAGTGGTCTGGCGGTATCACACTTCTAAACTAGCTTTTGGTCTAATCGAGTACTTAATTTGGTTTACAATACTCGACTGACACCCTGCGACGAATTGGAAAATAACTCTCCAGACCTCAAAATTCATGTAATAAGAAAACATAAAAAAAAAAGAAATAAATCGAAAGCAATGCGATAAAATTTGCACTTTCTAATTAAAGATCTAAAAATGTGTGAAAACGATCACTTAAGCACATATGAAAGCAGGGGCGGATTTACGGGGGAGGGGGGCGGACGTTCCCCTCCTCAGGGTCCCCCCTTTGGTACTTTTTAAGAAATCCATTTTTGGCCGACCGACCCTAAAAATTTTCTAAGGGCGCCTTGGGCGCCAATATTTACTAATTTTGAGGGGAGCGTTTCTTTCTTTGCGCCGAAAAGAAGCGATTTTTTGGTCAAAATTTTCCAAAAACTCTTTTTTGGACTGTTTTTTTTTTCAAAACAGCGGCACATAAAACTTTGCCAAAACAGGGACTAAATCCTGCTTAGAAAGAGCTCGAAAGATCAATTCGGTCGACCTAAAAAAGGTCGACAAAGTTTTCGAACATTTTTTGAAAATCCGCCCCCCTCGAGAAAATCCTAGATCCGCCCCTATATGAAAGTATCTTGGAACTAGAAAAAAACATTAAAATTGTCGTTCGAAAACAAAAAATGCACCTCCTACATGATAAAAAAACTCCAAACTTCTGGTAGTGACCTCCCCACAAAAACTGATTATCAAACAAATTAATACATTGATCTAACGAAAAAGAGCTTGTCATACATTTTTTCAAATTATTCTAAAACTATATTTCGCCTTTTTGGCCTTTCTGAAGTTTTCTAGTCGTAAAAAAATCAGTATTTGGATAACCATTTCTCATGAAAAATTTTTGGAAACTATTGGAAATTTTAGGAAATTTATGACTAGAAAAGCGAAAAAAAATGAGCTATTTGTAAGCCTGCTTGTTTTCTTTCTTTGCTCGAATTAGGAGTGAAAACCAAAAATTTTAAACTCGTTTTTTCAGTACTGTGACAATTTTTTAAAAGTTGTTCGACTTACGACTGAAAGAGTTTTATTTTTTCGACTTTTTTCGATTCGAAAGTAACGGAATATTTGTGCTCGGGGTGGGTTTTTTTCTTCAGACAAATTTCGACATTTTAACTAGCCATTTTTGACGGAATTTTTTATATCATTCAAAAGGTATTGTTGTCCTGAGCTTAAATTTGAAAAGTTTTTCGTAAAGTTATGAGGGATTAAAGATTGCCATTTTGACCAATTTGGGACAATTAACGCGCGATATAATTCGCGCTATTAACGCGTAAGCGGAGATTTAATCCGTCTTATAAATCGTTCCAAATTGGTTGAACGAAGCTTATTTGCCATAAATGATTTGTTACAAGGAACGAAATTTATCTTTTTATACTTTATATGGCGTGTGGGGGGATGATTTTCATAAAACATTTCAAAATTTAGAAAAAAAAATTTCATTTTATTTATTTTTCATATCATTTAATTTTTTAATGTTATTACTGCTGCTCCATAAACCTTAAAAGGCAGTCGGAACATTCAGGGCTTCGCCCTGATACGAGCAGTCTTGTTATGGTATATTATTCGATTGATTCCGATTATTATTTGTGCTAGTTGCGTGGAAAAAAGAGAAAAAGTAAAACACACCCAAATGCAAAGTTGTTCCCCATTTTTCAAACAATTAAAACATTATACAGAGCTTCGTATCAAAATGTTACGTTTTTTGTAGGTAGTTCTGTGTGCAAATTTTATTTTTAATTTACAAAGCAAATTGCCAATTGCAGTTATCTGTGCAGTTTTTGCAACTGAACATCTGGGCTTTCTTGCGTTTGTACGTGGTTATAACAAACTATTTGTTCATTGTGTTTTCGAAAAAAAAATTCCGGCACATTATGTTGCATTTTCTTCTATACAAGTTTAATGTATAAAAACTGCATATCAGACAAATAATTCATGAAAGAAACATGCTGATCATATGGTTGAAGACAAAAATTTTCAGCAAAAAATTGAAAGAAATTGTAGGTTGAAAAATTTTCAAATTGTTTGATTAAAATTTTGATCGGTCCGGGTTACTTTTTAGCTCGCTTTTTTTTCAGTTGTGTTACAGTTCTGAGGGCAGGATTTTGTGATAAAATTTGATATCCCGAAATGATTACCAAATATGCAAAAGAGATATCGGAAAGCGTAGTTTTTTCAAAGCTGCAAATATCACTTAACAATAACATGTTCAATTGAAGCAAAGTTTGAGAAATTGTAACAGTTGTTTTTATTGCACATCTCGACACTTTTGCATAAAGTTCTAAGTTTTTTTATTATTATTTGTTTTTGATTGGCGATTTAAGTATGATAGTTAGCCGCTAAGGAAAAGCTTGCATGGGCCACGATTTTTTTTGAAAGAGGGGATAATTCAAATAAGTGAAAAAATTAAAACATAGCCAACTGACAAGAGTTATGAAAAGCCACCAGGACCTATATAAGAGTCTTCACTAAGTTCATTACTCTAAATAGGGGGGTTAGATGGAAGGTCGGTCTCTACGCTTCGAAAATTTTCAGAACACCACTCACTCGAGAGGCAGCTTAAATAATGGCTTTCGATCTTTTTGAACGATTATGTACCATAAAGATTTTAGCCAAAGAAAGATTAGAAAAAAATTTCCACTCAAGTAAGTTTTTATTAACATCTAAAGCCCAGAAAAGAAAAAATTTTCATCAAAAATAATAATGGAATAAATAGAAGTTTTCTACCATAAAAATTAACTCTTAAATTGTGATCACTCTAGGTAAATTTACTAACTGGTGTCAAAAGAGCTCTTATGTTGTTCTTTGATCCACACAAACTGAAAAGCATATTGTAAAGAATCACCAAAAGCAAGATGTTTTCGTAACTCAATCAGTCAATTGAATTTATCGATTCTAGAAAAAAATTGTTTTTCAGATTCGCCAGGAGGATATCAACTAAACTCTAGAAAAACGGCAATTCGGATCTTGTTAACATTTTAATTTCAATCGTTTTGTCAAAAAGTTGTATTTCTTTCTTCGAAGAAAGTAACATGATATTTTTCCTGGAACATGACTGCACCCGCACCGAAGTTTCTCCGATTATTATCTATTATCTGGCGATTTTGTGGTCGAACAAAAAACTATTCTTTTAATAATCAATTATCTAGTGATTTTGTGGTCGCAGAGTAGAATAATCAATTATATGGAGATAAAAATCCATTAAAAACTTTATTTTTTATGTCGATTAAATTTAAATTATAATAGATGATAATAGATTTCCGCAGCGAGCGCCCATGGTTCATAATCGATTATATTGTCATAATATGGTCCGCAATAAAATGACAAAATAATGAATTATAATCCATTAAAATTATAATCCTAATAATCCTAATATTTTTTTTGTCAATATAATCCATTATAATCGATTTTAATCGATTATAATGGATTTTTTTGAGAAGTTATTCATGAAAATTACAATTTATTCAAAGTTATCTTATTTCCTGTTTAATGCCTTCGATACGTATTACGTTTCATAAAATGTTACATTTCAGAACAAAATTTTTATACTTTTTGGTCTCTCTTTTTAAATTCGTCGCTGTTTAAAACTTCATTTTACTGTTGATACGTATTACGTTTCATAAAATGTTACATTTCAGAACAAAATTTCTATACTTTTTGATCTCTGTTTTTAAAATCGTTACAGTTTAACACTTCATTTTACTGTTGATACGTATTACGTTTCATAAAATGTTACATTTCAGAACAAAATTTCTATACTTTTTGATCTCTGTTTTTAAAATTGTCGCAGTTTAACACTTCATTTTCTGTTTTTTTTTAAACCACAAATTCCCCCCTACCAGTTTAACCGCAAAACTTGCAGTTGAGGCATTCCCGCA